TTACCTATTGACTACAAAACCACTCCAATTTTACACCACACTGCAGCCTCCCTGTCAAGCACATCAGAGTACCCGGCAGGTGCCACGAGTAAACGACTCAACCTCTACCAAGCGATCAACTCAGCAATGCGGACAGCACTATCCAAATCCGATCGAACTATCGTGTTTGGCGAGGACGTTGGTTTTGGGGGTGTTTTCCGATGCTCGATGGATCTTCAAACAGAATTTGGGTCGGATCGAGTTTTCAACACGCCCTTGACAGAACAAGGCATTGCGGGTTTTGCAATTGGGGCGGCAGCGGAAGGGATGAAGCCTATAGCTGAGATCCAATTCGCCGACTACGTATTTCCAGCGTTCGATCAGATTGTGAATGAGGCGGCCAAGTTTCGGTATCGAGAGGGCGGGACAGGCATTAATGTTGGGGGTCTTGTCATCCGCATGCCGTGCGGTGCGGTTGGACATGGTGCTCTGTACGTTATGTTGTATCCGAGTGCCAAGCAAATTGGTATGCTAATTGACTGAATAGGTACCACTCTCAATCCCCAGAGTCGCTCTTCGCACATATTCCCGGCTTGCGAGTGGTCATGCCACGATCCCCGGCTCAAGCAAAAGGACTTCTTCTGTCTTCTATCTTCGAGCACAATGATCCGGTGCTCTTTATGGAGCCCAAGATCCTCTACCGTGCAGCCGTGGAATATGTCCCGAATGAATATTACACCATTCCGCTCAGTAAAGCGGAGGTCATCAAGCCTGGCAAGGACTTGACCATCATTTCATATGGACAGCCTCTTTACTTGTGCTCTTCTGCTATCTCTGCCATTGAGAAGACCATGCCGGGTGTCAATGTGGAGCTTATTGATCTACGAACCATATATCCCTGGGATAGGCAAACTGTCATCAACAGTGTCAAGAAGACTGGTCGAGCCATTGTCGTACATGAGAGTATGATCAACTACGGCGTGGGTGCAGAGGTTGCATCCACGATACAGGAGAGTGCATTCTTACGTCTTGAAGCCCCCGTCAAGCGAGTTGCTGGGTGGAGCACACATACTGGGCTGAGCTATGAGCAATTCATTTTGCCCGATGTTGCAAGTGAGTATCTAGTGCCCTTTGCTTTGTTCCCATCACTAACCGATGGTCTTACTCTAGGAATCTACGACGCAATTAAACAAACACTTGAATATTGAACTGGCATGCCTAGGATATTATAATAATACGCAAGTTATTTTGTATCTAAGTACATTATTCACTTGCAGTTCAGTGATTGTAACCAAGTGCAAAAGATTGCAACATAAGAATACCAACATGAACTTTGTTGACTCAAAATAGTGTACTCAATATTTTCGAAATTTTACATACTGTTGCTAGAATATGTTTAATTCTATTTTATTCGGGTTTCCGTTCACAGGGGCCTGGAGATCGCTTTGAGTATCAACTTGCCTCTCTTTTCTCGTGACCTGGACTATTTCTCTCTCCCAATTGTTCAAGTGTACCTTCCATTTCTGTTCCCTTCTTTCCCTTCTTACCCTTCTTACCTTTAATCCCTCGAGAGCTGTCTTCCCTTTCTTCAGTCTCCAGCTCTCTACCTTTTTTCGTCTCATTTCTCAATTCATCTCAATCGCCTACTTAAACCTATCTCTCGGTTCTGAATTTCTTTTGTGCATCAAGCTGTGTGACTGCCTATTCGCCATCTGTCTCAAACTATATATCCCCTTTCCCTTGGTCATCAATCCGTGGGATGCAAATCCCTTGTTACATTGGACTGAGCATCGTCCTTGACCTACAAAGCAAAGAACGCCGTCTTCTCGCTATATTTCTGAGATGAAACAGTTTTACTATGGATCTCGACACAACGGACCCTGACACAGCGGATCTTGTTTTGCAAACTGCACTGCAAGAGGTTGAAGAGCTTTTGAGGTCATCGGCTCGCAATGGAAATCAAAGAAGAGCGCGAATTGATGATCGGAATTGTGCTCTTTTCCAATGGCGAGCTGAACTCCGAGTGCGAAGGAGAACCCAACAGGACCGTCGAGCAGCGATCCAGATATCGAGACAATCACTTTTCAGCCAGGCCGAAATTCTTCGAGATACCCGCAATCGTGAGGTAGATGGAGCTCCGGCAGCTTGCGCACCCCTAACGCAAGCACCACATCCTACAACGCAAGGCTTAATTCCTAACCCAGTGGCTCAGATACAAGCCCGCCAGCAAGGGGGTGTCACAGCTACTGTGACAGTGCCTCCTTTTGGTGTCTTGCGGGAGTGTGTCGCTTGTTCGGACAGTCATCCCGAGTCCAACATGATTGTAAATAGCTGCTCACATGCATATTGCCAAAGATGCGTCATTCGCCTTCTCCAAAATTCCCTGGCCGATGAAAGCTTGTTTCCTCCTTGTTGTTGTCGTCTACCTTTGCCACTAGAATCTGTGCGTGGCATCATTGATGATGGGCTGTGGGTGAGATTCGAAAAAAAGCGATTGAACGCGGAGATCAGTCTCGTACTTATTGTTCGGATCCTGCTTGCTCTCGATACATTCTACCAACCTGTGTCCATGGTACAACCGGAACTTGCAGATCATGCAACCAACAAACGTGTACTCTTTGCAAGAAGACCACTCATCGGGGAGAATGTATTGATGATCATGCAGAGGTGCTGGAGCTCGCAAGAGCAGAAGGTTGGCAAAGATGCTCGAATTGCAGTCATCTTGTTGAGCTTCGTAGCGGCTGCAATCATATAACGTACGTATTTTCTCTCGTCGACGTGAATTCTCTTTGACTTTACGGTCACTTATGCTAATACATAATCATTTGTCTAGATGCCGTTGCCAGCATGAATTCTGTTATGTGTGTGCTATACCCTGGAAGCAATGCGAATGCGCCCACTGGGATGAGGCCAGGCTCCAAGAACGAGCGGGGCTGATTACGGCTCGGAACCAGCCCGTTCTTCCTGCACCGCAGGCTGTTGAGCAAGCAGCTGAATTCCTAATCGCCCAGCATGATTGCGATCATTATGGAGTGTGGAAAAGGTTCAATATCTCCGCTGAATGTGAGGAATGCGATGACATGATGCCTGATTTCATTCTCGAATGCAGGGACTGTGGACTCCAGGCCTGCACGCGTTGCCGAATGCATATATTCTAATTGAGGAGATGCAAGGAGCTATGACAGACAGGGTTGAATTATTCAGTCAAGGAGATTACCTGTTCCAGGTGTGAGACTTGAGGTGTTCGAGGTGTGGATTTGAGGATTGAGACAATTATTGTCAAGTCAAACTATTCGAGATATTTTTTAAATGAAAAATTCGATTTACTGCAGAACCCAGAAACTTCCAACATATGTTCATAGTCCTCTAGGGCTACCTGGGTGGCCCCGAGGACGGGGTATTCCAATTTTGGAAATATCCCGAGGTCCTAGATGATTCATCAGCCGATGATTCACCTCACATAATCTCGGCCTTAATTCCGCCTCTCGCAATAGCATGCCTTTGAAATCAATCCTAGCCTAGTACATTGGCTCTATAATCACCTAATATGTACCACTATTGCGAATATGCCATGGATGGCATCATAACGAGGTTATATAAGGGATCCCTCCACCTGGCTTCAAAGTAAACATCTAGCATTTATATCTGTTCATTGCTTTATATACTTTATCCAACCCTACAATTATCTCTCGATAAAAAAATACTCTGGTATTCACTTCACGGATTTACATCTTAACTTCAACATGACGAGCATCAAGGTTGCCATTGTCGGAGTATGTCAGTCCAATGTCCCGCATACTTTTCCATTCGCTGACATTATCCCTAGGCTAGCGGAAATCTCGGTCCTGCAGTGCTCAAGGAGCTGCTGACCGCAGGCTTCGATGTGACTGTCCTCACCAGACAAGGCAATAACAAAACTTTTGACTCCCGTGCCCATGTCGCAGAAGTGGACTATGAGTCCCTCGACTCGCTCAAGGCTGCTCTGTCCGGTCAGGATATTGTAGTCAACACTCTAAATGTTGGCGCAGTTCCCAAGTCCATCCATCTACGCTTGGTCGATGCAGCAGTGGCAACTGGTGTGAAGCGGTTCATCCCTTCAGAATATGGCTGCGACACCACAAATCCCAACGCTTCCAAATCGCCTGTCTTTGGCGATAAGGTCAGCGTTCAGGAACATCTTAAGAACGTCGCTCAGCAATCGGGCCTCAGCTACTCGCTGCTCATTACTGGCCCCTTCCTTGACTGGGGTCTTGAGAAAGGCTTCGTGCTCAATCTTGCTGGTCCGGCTGTATTATATGACGGCGGCAATCGCCAGTTTAGCTCAACGACTCTCAGTGGCATCGGCAAGGGAGTTGTTGGAATTATCAACAACCTCGAAGCCACCAAGAACTCCACAATTTATATTAATGAGGCTAGGGTCACACAGAAAGAGCTGCTGGAATTGTCTGGCAAGAGCGTTGAGACGAAGGTTGTTTCCACCACAGACCTGGAAAAGGAGGCTTATGCAGAACTGGCTAAGCCATCCCCGAACCCGGCAATCTTTGCTGGGAAATTTATTCTGCGGAGTATCTTCGGTGAAGGACATGGCTCTCTTTTCGATGCCGAGAAGCTCTCTAACGATTTGTTTGGCTTGAAGACTCTGTCCAAGGAGGAAATTCGCGGTCTTATCCCCCAGTGAATGCTCTTTTCAATATGTAACTAGTCTCAGATATCACATACATATACTCGATTCGGTCTATGATCTCTTTCGGCTCTCGAAAAATCCTCAAGAGAAGGCAGATGTCTTTTGGGAATTCCACCCGTGACCAAGTTTATCGTAGCTTGAATTTGAACCAGTATCCTGTTTTATTGTTGTGGTTTTGGCTATCAGAGTTGTCATGGACCTCATTAGACACAGATGTGAGCCATGTAAGCCCAATCCATCAACACATATCAAGGTCAAACAGATTAAAATTAAACCACATTGTTCAATATCCCATACTCATAACCAATTACGTCGAAATTCGGTTGCTCTCGAACTTTCATCCAACTCTTGGATGAAGTCTTGATCGACTGCGAATAGTACATCCACAGTTCCTTTCCCTTTTCCCGCATTTATAACAGATGTCCACTCCACATGAACAGCTAAATGAAGTGGTCAGTCTTTAATGGAGTTTATGGGGACAATATTCGGCTTACCGTATGTGCTGGCAGCCAGAGATACGCTCTATCATTCTAGAGCAATTTGAACATCGTTGCCACCTCTTCTTCTTTGCCAGCTTTTCCAGCAAATAGTCATTGATTTCCTCGGCTTCCTGAGCAACGCTGTAATTGTTGGCATTCACATAGGTGCAATCACCTCTATGTCCTTCCTTTTTGCAATCGGTGCAAGTTCGAACGGTACAGAACTCGCAGGTGCCCACCCCACGACGGATGTTCTGTGGCAGGATATAGCGAGCGCAGGTTGAGTTTGAACAATAAGTTCTATGAGAGTCGTAGACTTCGGTCTTCCGTGCCTTGTATCTCTTCGTCATCTCGATTCCTATCATATCCTCGACCGTGGTAGATGGACGAATCGGCAGGCGGCAGCATCGAGGAGGAAACAAGGCGTTGTTCGCAAGCGAATTTTCAAAAAGGTGCATAATACATTTGCGACAATAACTGTGAGCACATTCTGTTTGAATCATATCCGACACCGGATACTCTTCCGTACAAGATACACACTCATGCAAAGTCTGGACCTCGTCTTCGCTTTCGGCGACATCATTCGAGCTTTCATGTAAGCCCTCATCACTATCATCCGAGATGATATGTGTCATTCTTTTCAGTGGCATGGCTGCGCCCCTCGTGCTCCTCAGGGTTGCTCTGTATCCCCCAATTTCAATCCGGAATTCTCCCGGCTGTACTAGGGCTCGCTTGGTGTCCTCATTCTGACCTGAGTCTATATCACAGTCCATGTGGTGGTCCATTGATATCATGGACAAAATCTTGGATTCTCTTGCAAGGTGAGATAGTTTTTGAAAGATCAAACATGATGGCCATGTTTGCCAAATCTTCCTTTTTAAGTGAAGTCATAATGAGGAGTATAATGATGGATGCTGTAAAATAGTAATTTGTATCGTATTTACAGAAAAGCATACTGGAATCTAGATTGGAGAAACTTAAAGCGAACTCCTATGTCCAATTTTGTAGAGCTATTACTCAAGTGTTGAGATATCAAGCACCAAGGTTATCAACCAGTCAAGTTTCATAGGACAATGTTCTCATTATTGAGTAAATAGTAAGTTATTAAGCAATTTAGGCTATTTCTCGTGAGATAAATAAGATTGACTACCCCCAAGGGCCACATGTTTTGGCCTTCCATTTCAACTGCACTTCACTTGCATCCATACTCATCTCCCAGTTGACCAGTCGTGCCTTCTCATGTGCGCTCCGAGGCAATCTTGGAGCACCCCCTTGACTCGGCTGGTTTAGGGCCGCTCGTAAAGATTCTCTTCCTCTGCATAGATACACTTGCATGTTTTCCACGGCTTTCCGCAAAAGTAACAAAACTCGAACTTGCAGATGCACCTAATAGATGTGAGTCCAAAGACCTGCACTGTCAAAGATGAAGAGAATAATCAAATAGTAAATGAAATTGTCCTTACGTGATGTGGTTACAGCCTGTGCTCAGCTCAATCAGACGACTGCAGTTCGAGCATCGTTGCCATTTCTTGCACTCCGCCAATTCCTCCAGAAGCGCATCAAGCTTATATACACACCTTCCCTCATGGACATGCTTCTTACACTTCCTGCATGTGCGCACTCCACAGCTTGTGCATTTGCAAACCACATCTCGAGTCGCCTTTCGTGGGAGATATTCAGCGCACTTCGAATTGCAGCAATATGTCCTATCGGGGTCGCTAAGCTCGATTGCCTTCTCCTTGTGCTTTTGAATCAATGCGGGTCCGATCATCTCCTCCGAGGCTGCAATTGATCTGCGGCAGCATTGAGGGGGAAACAAAGATTCATCACGCAAAGAATCCGTGAACAGGCGGATTAAGCAAGCCTTGCAATAGAAGTGTGAGCACTTCGTTTTGATCATATCGTCTTGGGGTTGCTCGTCCCGGCAGGATACACACTCACTCCAAATCTCGGATTTGGGAGAGCCGTCCAAGTTGATGGCATTCTCGAGTGAGTCACCAAGTTTCTGAATGGCGATAGGAAGGGATTTGGAAGAAGATCTACTTCTCTCGTACTTGGACAAATCATTTTCTGTCTCTAGTCCCATTGACATCGCTGTGCCCATGTTGAAGTTGCTCATGCTGATTTTGCTTCTAGTATCTCTTAAATCTTGGGTCACAGTGTGATTTTTATTGCACTGTGTTGGTCTCCTCGTTTGTGTTCACCAGGAATAGCTGTAGGACTGGAGACTTTGTATCCTGATCCGTATCTTAGTCCATGTGATGAAGATGGGGCTTTGGATATTGCTAAGTGAAAGACGTGCTAGAAAATATAGTCGTTAGAATAGCTTGGAGCTTCTGCAAAAGAGGGAAAGAAGCAAATAGGTTGGTGGTGAGGTTGATACTACGTAACTATACCCATGTGAATGCCTGGGAAACATGGCTGCCACGCAGCACGAATAAAACGACATATTACTGGCGATCTTTCAAAGGCTTTTGTTTTGGCACCATATCTCAGAGTCGTTCAAAATTATTTGCTTTTTTCGTATGAGATCAGCAAATTATCTTACTGACCTTCCAAATATAGGGCCTTAAAAAGTCTCTATAACCTTTTTGTCACGTATCTATATTGTCATGTATCTCATTTCTCACTTATATAGCAATATAAATAATCAATTTGCTGCCGTAAGCGAGTTCAAATAACTGACAGCTAATATCCCATATTCCTCCAAGCCAAGTATACTAGAGCCACATACTTTACTCTCCAGGCCAAGTGCAATCAGAATAGCCCTGATTCATTATCCACACAGCCTTTTTGGCATCGCTTGGATTCATGAAATTTGATGGTTCGGTCTCCGTGTCACCTTCGGACAATCGCAAGTTTTCCACTTTTTTCCGCAGTAGTAGCACTACTGGTACGGGCGACTAAGTGTCCCACCTGGACACAACTCTTTAATTGGATTATATTGCCAGGTAGTAGTTTAGTCCTCACTTTCTAGGGCTACGAGGAAATAAAGTCTCCAGTCAAGATTCTATTAACTTGTTTACCATATGTATACTCTAAGTGTATTTAATTGATACTTCATAATTATATCTCTATGGTAATTCCATACTATAAACTAGTTTCATTCATTTCGTAGAAAGAAACCACAAAAGGCTAGTAAAAAGACCAGATTAAGGAGTAGGATTAAGCCTACATAGCTCATAGTGTTAAACAATGTAGTGTACTATATACTCCTTACCTTTCCTTAGCTTCTCGGCCTTAACTTCTTAGGTACCCTTACGAAGTAGTATACAAATACAAATGGAAATGCCATATATACTTCGAGAGGGCGGTAGCTTCTGGTCAGGTAGTATCCAATAAGAGAGTTATGTCCAGGTGGCACACTTAGTCCCCCGTACACTGGGCTCTGCAAATACAACTATCAGATGTTAGTAATCATGAGTAGCTTGGAGAAGTTGGAAAGGGCTAACAAAAGCACTTACGTGATATGAGGACAGCCCTGGTTAAGCTCAATTACACGGCCGCGTTTATTGCACCGTTGCCATTCATTCTGCTTGATCAGTTTCTCGAATGGCTGCTCGAGCTGATATAGACACCTGCCCCTGTGGGCACTCTTTTTGCACTTCCTGCACGTGCGTACACCACAATTGCAGGTGGAAACTGTTTTGAAAGTAAAATCTGGCCAAAATTTCGTTGCCAGGAGAATATATCGAGAGCATGTTGAATCTGAACAGTAGGTTCGGTCAGGATCGCTAAGCTCAGTTTATCTCTTCTTTGGTTCTTGAGCCAATGCAGATCCTATCGTCTTCTTCATATCCGACCCTTAGATTGGCTTGTGGCAACATTGAGGGGGGAACAAGGATTCATCTTCCAAAGATTTCGTGACCATGCGAATTAAGCAATTCTTGCAATAGAAGTGGAAGCACTGTGTTCTGAAGACTTCGCTGTAGACTTCTCTACATGAGATGCAGATCTCGGGCTAGTAGGACTCGGCCGAACCCAGTATTTTGATAGAACGCATGAGGTTCTTGAGAGAGTGGACTAGCTTTTGAGTAAAGGTAGATAAAATTTGGCGAATGTCTTCGTTTTTTTGGGCAACGACGTCTCTTTTGCTTCCTCTCCTGCCGACAAAGCTGTGGCTATCTGGAAGTCATTCCATATGGTTCTTTGTCTTTGGATTTCGAATTTCCATATATGAAGTGCGACCCCCGGCCGTGCTCTACTTCTTCTAGTCTGTTGGCTGGTTGATGTGTATCATTCAGCAGCAGTTGCGCTTCGAGCCTGTCAATCTTGTCGTTCGCGTCTTCCAGCAGCAACTTCAATATTGGGAACTCTGTATCTTGGTGTGTATCTTGATCCATCTTATGAGGAGGGCTCTCAAACAACGCGTAGGCTTTCGCAAGCAGGGTGAACTACAAAGGAAGTTGCAAAGCTGACTCTGGAAGTAACCAGCCGGCGAACCTCTGAATACTAAGACTTCCACACAAAAAACTCGAATCTGTACAAAGTGTCTTGGCTAACGAAAGTCTATTCAAAGACCTTGTCTCTACTTGAATAAGTGTATGACGAAGTATGGTGATTCGTGCTGTAAGTATGAGATCGATATCAGTCGATATTCCAAGCGATCATTGTTATCACTATTCTTTTTTGTTCTTTGGTCTATTTTGTTATGATGCATCTATAATTGTTTTCTTCCCTGTAATGTCCTTTTCAAGTATAGATGCCACTATAGGAAGGGCTTAAAATGGAAATGATGAGTCAGCTGCCTTAATCCCGCTATCTCCGGGTAAAGTCGGTCCCCGAGGTCCGCCAATAACTTCGTCTACGACACTATCAACTCGGAGCTCTCCAACTTACCAACTTTTTGCATACTCGCTGGGCTCTAATCACACCAAACTCGCAACAGCCACCCAACTCGCCCAAGATGCAGGGCTTCAGTAAGTCCCGATTCCATCTCAAAGAACATGCGAAACAGCTAACTAACATGACATCTCACTAGACATGGGACGGTCAGCAAAATATCCAAATATCCACATAGCCACCAAGCTGACATTTTCAACAGATATGTCCCCCCAGATCAAGAAGGCGTGACAACGGGAAACAAACTCGCGGGGAAGCACGCTCTCGGCGCGCGCGCGCGCCACCTGCACACAACCGGCGCATTAATCGTGCGCTTCGAAATGCCTTTCGCGGTATGGTGCGAGACCTGCAAACCACACCCCATAATAATTGGTCAAGGCGTGCGCTTCAACGCAGAGAAGAAAAAAGTCGGCAACTATTACTCGACGCCGATTTACAGCTTCCGCATGAAACACACCGTCTGCGGCGGAACCATCGAAATCAGAACAGACCCTCAGAACACTGCGTACGTTGTGACCGAAGGCGGGCGCAAACGAGACACCGGCGAAGACAAAGAACTGCAGCCTGGCGAAATCGCCATCAAACCGTACGCGCGAGAGATGGATCCCGCTGAGAAAGATCCTTTTTCGAAGATTGAGGGGAAGATTGAGGACAAGCTTCGTGCGAAGACGGAGGCGACTCGAATTCTTGAGCTTCAGGAACGGCAGAAGCGTGATTGGGAGGACCCGTATGAGAAGTCTATGCGGTTGCGGAGGGCCTTTCGGCAGGAGAGGAAGGGACTTGAGAAGACGGCGGCGAAGACTGAGGCCCTTAAGGATAAAATGAGTCTTGGGATTGAGCTGTTGGACGAGACGGAGGGTGATCGGCAGAGAGCCCGCATGGTGGAGTTTGGTGAGAACCTGGTTGATGTCGGCTCGCATGCTTCCCGCGTGACTCGTGTTCGACCTATGTTTGAGCAGCCGGCGGAAACGCCTGCACGAAAGACAGGACCGGGAGAAAAGAAATCTCGTTCCTCAAAGCGACCTCGGAAGGATGATCTGGTTGCGACACGGAAAGATTCTCTCCGCCGTGAGCTGGCTGGGAATACCCGTGCTATTATTGATCCGTTCTTGGTGAATGATGCAGAGAACGCATGGCAACCTAAGAAGAGGAAAACCGTCGCCGCTTCGACTCCATCACTCCGTCAAGATTCCAGTGGCATAGAACTTGCTTCCTCTGCCGGGGCACCGACACCAACACCAGCGCTGGTTAGCTACCCTTCCGACTCGGAGTGACTTTGAATCCGGCTTTGCGGACTACTTATTCATCGGGGCAGGCGTTCTTTGAACTTTATTGCATTATTGAGATACCCACTTTGTACTAAACTTTCGATCATAGCATTGCGCTTGAATCATTCATCCCAGCATACCTGGAACGGACATCAGACCACTTGTAAATATCCCGCGACTCAATATCCGGCCAGTATTACCATCGCAGCAGTGCAAAACAGATAATACGAAGTTCAACTCGGACAAGTTGTATGTATAAGATGAAGATATTGAAACAAGAATAGTGGGAAAACCCCGATATAGTAAGACAGGGTATCCTGCGTAGTTATTACATACAGTAGAATCACAAGAGCACAGAGTGAAACAGGATTCAACAAAAGAAAGTCATGCTGCATCACGACTAATAGCTCACAAATATGCCAAATCAACGCGAAATTTGGCGTTTACCGAAAAATGAGACTGTTGCTGCGCGGGTACGAGCAGGTTCTGGCTCGGGGGCTCGGGGGACTTCTAAATTGGGTGTGGTCGAGGGACTGGGAGACTCGGAGGATGCTTGCCGGGAGAGATTGGCAAGTTCGCCAATGAGTCTGGAGGGATCAGCATGATTCCTAGATTAACACGACCATATATTTGACTGACCTGTGGTGCTCGCTGTACCAATCATCATTGGCTGTTCGAATGTGCTTAAGCTGTTCCTGAATGCTTGCCATCTATGGAATGCATTAGTCTCATTATACACTAATATAGTCTTCATAAATCATGTGAATGGGTGGAATGCGGGAAGATCTGATGAGTAGGAAGACTTCTTCAATCGGGGATCTCCCACCGTTCCCTCAATGGATGGGCCTAGGTCCTCACCTTCCGTCGTGGCTGGACCCCCATCTTCAGCATTCTCGCTCCCCTCATCAGCTGTCGCCCATCGGCTAGCCTCCAATCCCGAAGAGCTGCTCTTCTCTCCACTGTCTTCCTTCAGAACTACGAGCTCGGTTTCGAGTTCGCGGACCCGTCGCCGGCTGGCAGCGATGTTGGAATCAAGATCGCCAAGCTGGTTGAGGAGACCCATGTTCTTGTCGATCTGGTCGTTCAGGTCACGTTCACCAGCTTCAAGCTTCTCGGACAAGGTCTTGTTTTGGTTCTTGCAATCAACGAGCGAGTCGGAGATGGCGGCGTTATCGGCCTTGACCTTGAGAAGTTGGTCGCGGGACTCAGAGAGCTGCTTCATAATCGACTCAAGATGCGACTTCTGGCTGTCCGAGTCCTTGGCAAGCTTCTCGAGCTCACCCACCTGGGCGACCGCAGCCTGGTACTTCTCTCCAAGTGTAGCATGGTCAGCCTGGATCTTGGCGAGCTCAGCTGAGTAACGACCCTCGATTTCCCTGGAAGCAGTGGTGGCAGATTCCTGTACGGCAAGGTGGGCCTTCTCAGAGTCAGCAAGCCTGGCCTGCAGATCAGCGACTGTGGCCTTCAAGTCATCCAGGGCGGAGGTGTCTTGGGCAGCAGCCTTGGCCTGAGACAACTGCTCGTTGGCACTGGTCAGTGCTGCATCGTGGGCATTTTGGAGATCGTTAATCTTGACCTTGTTAGAAGCTTCGAGCTCCTCCCTGAGGCCGGACAGCTTGGACTCATGCATGGTTAGAAGCTGCTCAATTGCATTTCCGTGCTCGGCATCGATCTCAGCAGCCTTGGAGGCTTGAACGGCCTCAATTTCGGCTTGGATTTTGGTTTTAGTGTCTTCAAATCCCTGCTGCAATTCGGCAATTGCCTTGCTGTGCTCAGCATCGATCTCAGCAGCCTTAGATGTTTGGGCAGCCTCGATCTCAGCCTGGAGCTGGACTTTGGTCTGTTCAAAGCCCTTTTGCAGTTCGGCGATTTGCTGCTCATGAAGCTCAGCATCAGCCTTGCTAGAACTCTGCAAAGCGGAAAGCTCGGCTTGCAACTTCGCCTGAGTCTCTTCGAATTGATTCTGAAGTTCGGCGGTCTCCTTTTCACGACCCTCAGTGTGGGTAGCAATCTCACGAGCGTGGCTTTCGAGTGCCGTCTTCAATTCAGCCTCAAGCGACTGAACTCGGGTGGCGTGGATAGACTCCAAGTCCTTGTTTGTGGCGAGCAACTCATCGTGCTTCGCCTGAAGATCACTCATAGCACTGTCATGAGAGCCCGATGCCTCCTTGGCCCGCTCCAACTCGGATGCGAGGTGAGCAGCATGCTCAGCCTTCAACTCTTCCAAGGCCTGTGCGTGCTTTTCCGACACACCTGCAGCCTCCAGGGTGTGTTTCTCGAGAAGGAATACGGCTTCCGCCGCCTTCTGCTCCAGTGCCTTCATCTTATTGTCCTTCTGAGCACCCTCCTGCTTGGAGTGATCTTCAACATCCCGTAGAGTGCGGTGGATAGCTTCGGCTTCAGCTTGCTTGCTCTGCATCTCTTCGAGCAGCGCGTTGATTTTCCCAGTGCCGGTGGACAGCTGCGATTCCAGCGACTCACACTTGTGTCGAAGAGCGTCAATTTCCTGGATGGCAAGGTCTTGTGCAGAGGCATTACCCTCATCCAATGCACGGCGGGACTCGCCGAGGGCATTCTCGGAGGCCTCCAGCTTTTCTTGCAGCAACTTGAGTTCTGCTTCATGCGTGGTCTTAAGCTCAGCAACAGCATCTTCTTGTGCCTTCTGGGCAGTGGCCTTAGACGCCTCGATGGCATCACGGAGTTCCTGAAGTTGCACGGTGTGTTCTATCCCGCTCGACTCTGCCGCCGCCATGGCAACAGTGAGCTTCTCTGCGTGGGAAGCGGAAATATCACTAATAGCAATTTCGTGTTCAGCCTTGAGGCTTGCGATAGCAGCCTCGTGGGCAGTCTCCACCTCCTCGACCTTTGATGACAATTCAGTGGCCGCGGTGTCGCGTGCCTCCTGGAGCTCATTTTGAATCTTCTCCAGGGCCTGTTTAAGCTCCCTGATTTCTTGATCCTTCTCGACAATCAAAGTGCTCGGCTCAGGGCTTTCTTGCATAACAGACTCGGCTGCAGCAAGCTTCGCCTCGAGGGAGGCTACTTGTTCTTGAAGACTAGAGACACTCTCCTGAGCAGCCTCTTCGGCAGCGCGAACCTCCTGCTCCTTGAGCGTATTCAACTTAACAATTTCCGTGTTAAGATTATCCATGACCTGGTCCCGGCCCTTGAGTTCTCGGTTGAAATGGTCAAGTGCCTGTGCTTTCTCTTCCTCCAGGGCAAGTTTCTGGAACTCAAGTTCCTTTTTCAGAGCGCCAATCTGCTCTTCAAAGTGAGCAGCTGCAGACTTGTACTCTGCCAGCTCTTTTTCGATAGCCTCAAGTTGGGTTTGGTGTGTGGACTTGAGCTCATCAAGAAGGGCAACTGTCTTGTCATCTCCCTGAGCGGCGGCGGATTGTCTAGCTTCCTCCAGTTCCTTTTGCGAGCTCTCCTCCAACTCTTTCCGTTGGGACTCCGCTTCGTCTAGTTGCGCTTGCAGGGCCTGGAGCTCCTCGGCATGGGCTGATGCCAACTTCTCAATACCTGCGGTGTGGCTCGCACGAACGGCCTCGGTGGCACCAGCATCACCCAAGGGCTCTTCGGCCGAGACAGAAAGCTGGCTGAGCTTCTCATTGACAGCCTCCAACTCAGTTTTCAAACTAGCTACGGTCTCCTCGCTCTCTGTGAGCTTAGTCTGGAGGGCCTGCAGCTTCTCAGAATCACCAGCTCGAGCAATTGAGCCAGGAAGCGTACTCAATCGCTTCTTAGGGTCAGCCGCAGTGGTAGATCTAACGGTGCTCGAAGTCGAAGTCGGCCGAGTAGTAGCAGGTCTAGTGGTGGAGGTGGCAGTGGCAGTCCGGCTTACAGGTGTCGCCGATGAAGTCAGCCTGCCCACGGGCTTGCTCGTCGAGGTCGCGGTGCGCGCAGTTGTGGTGGCGGGCTTCCTCTCGGCGGCGGTACCAGCAATACTCGATCTACGATCGATGGAAGACGAGGTGGGTTTGAGAGGGGGCCGGGTGGAGGGGGTACCGGCCATAGACATGCGCTTCGCAGTGCCAGAGATTCCCCGCCTCTCGTCTCCCGAGCTCGCCACAGACCGAGGCTTCTCGTCTGCAGAGCTGCTGACTGACATGCGAGAACGGTGAGACGAGACAGTTGAGGTGCTCAGTGGCTTCCGGGTGGTTGTCGTGGTCGGGGGACGAGTGGGAGGTTTGTTCAGGGTGCTGGCGGTGGACGTGCGGGTGGTGCCCGTCATGGGTTTCGATGCAGAGGAAGAGGTGGGCCGTTTGGTGGTAGCTGTTCCAGATAGAGGACGCTTCGCGGTGCCAGGTGTACCAGGGCTAGCCTTGGCCAGAGAGGCTGCGGGGTTCTCCTTGGATACCTCGGGGTTGGGCTTAACCAACTCTTCGCCTCCGGAGACGACACTCGCCTCTATCGGGGTAGCCGGGGGCTCATTTTCATCGACCTCCACAGGAGCAGGGGCGACGACCGGTTCGTCGTTTGAGGACATATCGGTAGATTTTTCGGGATTAATGTATTAAAAAGGGCAAGCTTCGTGGTAAGGTTCAGTTGGCGTGTACGAGTGAGCTGTCTGCGAAAAGCGTTGTCAGCTTCAGTTGAGCAAATTCAAACCCCTAAACACCTGATCGCCCAGCCGGTATGGTTTCCCCAGCTTCGAGCTCTCAAATTCATGCAACTCCATTGACCTCGTCAGGAGCTTGTAGCGTGCTGAGTACAAGGCTAAGATATGTCCCAGTTGCGCAAAATATTCCAACTGTGCCCGTGGCATAATTGAGTGCCATTGTCCAGCTCAACCGAAGCTCCCGTCTATAAACAAACATGCAGAAAAGAGAAGAATGTACTCACGCGCCGCCCAACCGTTCCAATGGGATTTCTTCACAATTACTCGAAGACTGATCTCCAGACCAAGAGAAGTCCAGACCACAGTTGTTCAAAAAAAAAAAAGCAAATAAACCGACAAAAGCAAACGGTGTCAAGATGCCTTGGGGAAGAAAAGGGGAAAGCGGGAAAAAGAGAAAGCGGTGTCGATTTAAGAGGGGGATCGCCGCTGCTCTATACTTTGTCGGCTTTCTCTATAGACACCCCCTAAATGGGGTCCGGGGTATCCCCTTACATTGTACTCTTTTATCTCTAGTTGTTTTCGATCATATAGGTCGACTTTGAATGAGTTCGACATCATTATATGTTCATTTTTTGCTTTGCAGCTCTGTATCTATCCATTATAATAGCCTGGTCTTTGTACACTACTCCGTAGTACCTTGGGAGGGTATATGTAAAATATAGGTACCCAAGATGTCTCGGAAACAGAATCAGGAGCCCGACGAGATTTCTCCTATACCCAGGGCAATCTCACGAATGACATATTGAACTTTTACCAGAATATCCTTCTTCTAATAGAAGGAAAGGGCTTAGCCGAGGCATATGTGCATAGTATACACCGACATAGTTGACATCCATGGATATTCAAAACAATGTCTATGGTTCGCCGTCTGTGGTTCGCGGAATCCCACACTCCCATACTTTTAAGGACAGATTCAAATCTGGTTCTCTTTTGACCTCCATCGCAAAAGGGTATTTCAAATCAAGTCTACATGCCGTATCCCTTTCATCAATGTCTTTTCCTAGCCCTTCGCTCATAAATCATCCAACCCGAGTTTGATGGCTTGGCTCTGGATATGTTGCAAGATCCGCTCGGAAAGTTGACCGCCGATTGTGTTGTCACACTTGATATCGATATATCGATCTTCCCCTATTAATACCGTCAGAATAGCATATAGCATGAGAATTGAAAAGCCTTACCCCCATATAATTGTAAGCCCTCACGGAGTGCAATCTTCTCTGCATAGGTCCATCGTCCACAAGAGATATGGCTGTCGACCTCTTCCAACTCAAAGTGCTTGTACGGTAGAGGGCGTTGAGGAATGCGAGTTGTCTCACGTAGCCGGCCGTCTTTTAGTGCATCCTTGAGAGTCTTCACATGGCGCAACACTTTTCTAGAATAAGCCATTACGCTCCCACTAATGACATAATGCATCTGGGCGAGGGAAGATATCCTATCACAGGACCCCCAAAGCAAATCCAGGATAATGCGAAAATGTCGGGCGCCCCGATCATTTACGGTCTTGTAGGTCTTGAATCCGAGTATGATCAAGTCAATCAGACGGGGAACAATATGGGCTTCGAGCTGATTTATCAGGTGTGCACCATTCTCTTCATTTTCTGGGGCTTCGGTGTATACGATCCACTGGGTCTCTTTAAAAATGCTGTTGGCAATGAGGCTGCACTGGTTTTTCAAGGAAGAAGCTGAAGCAGGATCGTTGGTCATGGTTTCAAACAGATCTCGCAGTCGCTCAATGAGCTTTATGATGCCCCTGAAATGCTCTTTCGTGGAGGGATCAGCGTGGGCTTTCAGTGTTTTTCTTGTTTGGCGGATTGCTTCCCAGGTATCCTTGAAAACGGATTCTTTAATGGTCTCAGTTAGCCACGTGAAGATATTGGGGCGAGTGCTTTGATGGTCCTGGTTTGGGCGAGGTGGTTTGATTGTCGGTATCTCTGGTATTTCCTGAAGCTGCGACGAGGCATTTTGAAATTCTCGAGCACTTTCTGAAAGGCGACTTATATGTGTGCCATCACTTTGATTTCTTGGTATACTCTCGAGGATCTGCACCTCTAGTGTGTTTTCATTCGCGACCTGTTGGGGGGTGTTGAATGATTCTGGACTTCGGGTGGAGAATGATCATCTGCCTCTTCTTCATCTCCATATTCGGATTCGTCTTCAGATGCATTGTCTTGTGCGTCTCTAGCTTCCTTTCCAGCTTGATCACCTGCCTCTTCTTCATCTTCATATTCAGGTCCGTCTCCAGATGTGTCATCTGGTGCATCTCTGGTTTCATGTACAACCTGATGATCAGCTTGGTCCTCGTCTTCGGCTGGGAACAGATCGACTGGTTCGGGGAACGGATCGTGTTCAGGCTCGGGCTGAAGCTCGTCGCTATCATCAACCAATTCCTCCTCTCCACTGCTGCCGGATCTATCTTGAATGGATTCGGACTCGTGATCGCCTGGCCCGGATTCGTCGTTGCTAGGCTCCTTGTCTTCTTCATTGTCAGAAACGCTGGGGGTGAATCCGATCGGACGAGTTCAGGCACTTTACGATTTCTCAAACTCATCCATCTTGTATTTCTTGGTTCGGTTTGAGGAGTCTCTCGAGAGTTTGTCGGGGAGGGGGAGATAGGAATGTCAAAAATGTCGGCATGGGTGGTGCGGCGCCTTTTGGGGTCCTGTATATTTGGCGCATCATGTCCGAGTGCATTGATATTATTCAAAAGTCCAAGACTGTAGTCGGTAGATTTGTTGGATCTTTTTGGCGCCATCTTGACGCGTGGGGAAGTTAAAAAGGCAAAACGCGGTAAAGGAGCTCTAGTGGAGCCGCAAATAACATCCCGCTTCCCCTCCAACCTTCCCTCATCCTACTTCAACCTTTGGGTTTTTTTCAGCTCAACATGGCTAATGGCTTAGTTATTCGTGTGTTGTCCACTTTGGAACCCTTCAAACCGCACACCTTTATCGAACCGAACAAGAAGATTCACGAATCGCAAGATGTATCGGTTTTCCTGACCTCCAAAGCCTATACTAATATCATGACGTGGATACTACAACTCAACCGATCCATGTTTCCAATGAAGCTGGCCGATGATACTATACAAACCTGGCCTCTTGGCAGCGATGCGATACAATATTCCGCTCCGGTCCGACAATTGCAGCGACTTCTCTCGAAACTCGAAGATATCATACAGGAGGTCCCACCTGATACCGGCCCTCGGAGGTTTGGTAATATAAGCTTTCGGAGATGGTGTGAGGTGGTCGAAAGTCGCGCGTCCAGCCTGCTGAGGGAATGCCTACCGGCCGACCTCTTAGATAGGGGATCATCGAATGGGGGCGCAACGGCGGAGACGGAGTTGAAATCATATTTCTTGGGCAGCTGGGGAAGTGGCCAGCGATTGGACTATGGTACTGGTCATGAACTGAGCTTCTTGGCTTTTCTGGGTGGAATATGGAGGCTGAATGGATTTCCCGAGGCCGGTCCAGGCGTGGAGGAACGAGCTATCGTGGTCGGGGTGATCCATCCGTGCGTCCACCAAGAATCTACCACGCCGGATATACTTCATCCCTTACTGACTGTCGTCACTTAGATATCTGGAACTTGTCAGACTGCTCATTAAGACATACAACCTTGAGCCTGCTGGCTCCCACGGCGTCTGGGGTCTTGATGATCATTCCTTCGCCCCTTATATCTTTGGATCTGCACAATTCTCGCCTGCAATCAAAGAGAATGACCTAACTCCCGAAGAAGGCTCACTGGATAATGCACCTGACCCGGGCGGGGTCGCTAATGCAAATATTGTTCAAAAGGAACGCCAAACTAATCTATATTTCTCCGCTATCGGGTTTATTTATGATGTGAAGAGGGGCCCATTCTGGGAGCACAGCCGCATGTTGTTTGATATCTCTGGCATTCCAGCTGGCTGGGGCAAAATCAATAAGGTTCGCAATCTTGATAATCGGTGGGAATTTTCGCGCTAACGGGTCACACCAGGGAATGATCAAGATGTATAACGCGGAAGTTCTCTCGAAATTCCCCGTGGTACAGCACTTCCCTTTCGGGTCTTTGTTCAGCTGGGACCGTGATCCAAATGCCCCTCTGCCCCCTTCCACGGTTCATGCCACATCTGGTCCTCATGCACGCCCTGTTGCCCCGGATTCTGGTCCTCCTTCTGTTGCCGGTGCCCGTCCTATGCCTGGGGCTGGCACGCAGGCTCCCTGGGCTAAGCCCGGGTCTAGCACCCAGGCTGTTCCCCCGATGGGCTCGACAACAGCCCCATGGACTGGGATGAGAAGAGATGGGGTCCCAACCACGATGCCTAGTGGTGCGACCAGAGGTCCCTCGGCTCTTCCGGATACTTCAAGGATGCCTCCAGGCCCCATGGCACCCACCAGAGCACCCTGGTCTGCTCAGCCTCGGCCTTCGCCTTCACAGGATGGAAATGCCGAGGTGCATACCAAGGCTCCCTGGGCAAAATGATGAGGAAAAAAAGATAATACGAATATCAATGTACACTGTTGCCTCTTGTACCTGTATCAATTTGTAGGCGGAGTACTTTTTCTCCTGCCACTAGCATTAGTGTAATATTTGGTTCAACTTCGCCCAGGTGTCCTTTTTCTCGGATTCTTTCGTATGGTCTCTCATTGTTCTCTTCTACTAGCTGCGCTCAATCCGATCGTGTGTGGCTTTCCTAGCAGACTTATCGCATTGGAGGTATAGCACGATAGTTGGTTCAAGCATCAACTGAGTATTATACTGCGGTCATAGTAGCATATTGTCAGATCCCCAGACCTAGCGCTCTGAAAACTAAAAATATATATTAATGCCCTCAGTTCCATAACGCAGACTTGCAAGAATATCGCCCCCGGGATTCGTGGTTCGGCCAATACCGGACCGAATAGACTGTGTAGGCGAATCACGGCGATAGTTGCTGGACCAGTGCCAAGTAAAATCGGGCCGGAATCCACCTAATGCCAAGACCTCGGGATCGATGCCTTATCACCCTGAGGATTTGGGGCGAATTGATTGTAATTTTCACCTCTTCCAGATAGTTAGGTCCATTGTAGCATCATGAATTGCCCATCTCGGACCGATGACTTGCTACACGATGGGTGGAATCAGAACCCGCGCTTTCTTTCTCCCGACCTAACCACTCGCCAAGATCTCAATGGCATCTCAAACACACGCGAGAACAAAGATGAATCTGGTCCAGGTATTTTGCGGGGAAGCTCTAATTGGAAAGGCGTTCATCCGCTAGAGGAAAAGGATGCGGGTAATCACCTTAACGTGGGGTGCGAGGCGTCCCTGACAATGTCAGGTATGAACAGCAAACATATGTTCCTAGATAATTTTCTAACGATTGAACAGGACGCCTCGCTCCCCAAAATACTATTAAAGAAATCGGTCAACGGCCAAATCCAAATAACGATGTTTTTCCATCATATCAGAGTATCAAGGATTGGGCCTTGTGGCTCCTCTCCGTGCTCCTCGTCTCCGCAATCATTTCCTTTGACAGTCTGAAGGGGTATTTCACATCTAAACAACCCCTCATACTGGAAGCACCTGTTGCACAGCAGTATACAGAGCCCGTCAAACGATCAAGCTGTGCCCAGGGAGGTACCCGCGGTGCATACGATCTACCCTTGCACGTTGCGGCCCTCTTCATCATCCTAGCCACTTCGAGTATTGCATGTGCATTCCCCATCCTTGCAACTCGATTCCCACGGATGCATATCCCACCCGCGTTCCTTTTTTTCGTCACCCATTTTGGAACAGGTGTCCTCATCGCCACAGCATTCGTGCATCTCCTTCCCACGGCCTTTACTTCGCTGGGAGACCCATGTCTATCTAATTTCTGGACAAAAGACTACCCAGCCATGCCGGGCGCCATTGCCTTGGGTGGCATATTCCTCGTCACAGTCATCGAAATGGTATTCAGTCCAGCCCAGAATATCTGTCGTGGGGGAAACCGGGTCCCAGCCGAAAGGCCAGCTTCCTGCCCTGAGAGTGCGATGGTAGCTCCAATTCCAACCCTTGATGTTTCGGACTATTCCAACCACGCTAGAGCGCTGAGCTCGCAATCCGCTGGAAATGATGGCCGATCTCATTTGCGAGATATGGGTCCGCTGATTGGAAGGTCTGCGAGCATAAGCCGAGCTATCAATCGCATGGGCGAAGGTACTGAAGATGTAGTTCGCGTTGCATCTGCGCCTGATATCCCAACTCATCACGAGAAGGATAACGGGACTATCCAGACAGACATGGAGCGTAATGAAGACAACTTCGCCTTAACCCCTGAGCAGAAGCAGAAGAAAGAGACCATGCAGGTCTACCTTCTTGAGATGGGCATTCTTTTCCACAGTGTGTTTATTGGCATGTCACTCAGTGTATCGGTTGGGAATGAATTTGTGATTCTGCTGATTGCCATTGTATTCCATCGTGAGTTCTCCATATCCCCCTGTTTGATCGGAGCAGTGCATTTGACTAAACCGACTACAGAAACATTTGAAGGCCTGGCGCTTGGGTCTCGTATTGCCTCGCTTCCCTGGTCAGAAAAGCAAATTCAGCCTTGGATCATGTCCCTTGCATATGGATGCACGTAAGTTAATTCCCCACTCACCCCGGACTCAACAGTGCTGACAGAGGTCTAGAACGCCAATCGGGCAGGCTATTGGCCTCGCAACTCACACACTCTACAGCCCCGACTCGGAGGTTGGTCTACTTGTTGTCGGCGTCATGAATGCCATGTCAGCTGGGCTTTTGATTTTCGCCTCCCTCGTGGAGTTGATGTCGGAAGACTTTCTCAGTGACGAGAGCTGGCGCATTCTCCGTGGAAAGAGAAGGGTGTATGCCTGTATACTGGTATTTTTGGGTGCTTTCTGCATGAGCATCGTTGGTGCCTGGGCCTAAACACTCCAAGGTTTAGATGCTCTGAGATATTTGGTCTGTCACAAGCTGGACAGTCGGATACCTTCGTCAGTATAATCACAACTGGTCTAATTTTCGGGTTCAAGCGCGTATATAGAACGTTGATTGGCGGCGTTATTATAATTGGCTTTTCGGTATATAATAGCAAAAGAACATAGACCGCAGAGCGGGTTGATTGTAACCCCCAGTGTCAAGTTCGTGAGAATGTCATGAGCATATGAGTATACATATTATCTTCCCAAGAGGGGTTCAATATAAGAGAAGCGAAGGCAATATGAGAATATACTGTTTGATAGAGCTATCCTTCACTAGACCCTGAGACAAGCCGAGGGAAGAGACTAATAGTGAAGGGGTGATATAGGAAAGGAGTCGAAAAAATAATCCGTGCCCCAACTACTCCTAAAGGAGGATCGAAACTCCCAATGCGGTATCACCCGTGGTCATTGTTCCACCCAGCAATCAGATGACCTCGTGTCTCTCACCCACTCGGCCGCCCAGGGAGGATTTTGGCAGACTCCCTTGAGCTTGGATCAAATAGACCAACTGGGCATCATTGAATCAAGCTATCCATTACCTAGGACTCACGCGAGAATGTGTCGACATTGAAGGAGAATTGACCGTTGGTGACAGGCGGCATGATGTTGTCTAAAAAGAGTGTAGGTACGGAGTACAGAGTAGAAGATAGGGGGTATCGGAGAATAGTGGGGCGTGCCACTCCACCTTGATCTTGCCGCTCACCCCTTGATACTCTATTTCTTCCGCATTGATTTTGTTTTCCCAAAACTCAGTTGACATGATTATTAGAAGGTACCTAGGTATTATTACCTGGGCATATATACAGTGTAGTTATGCAAATATTACATACATTATTTAACCTTGTAGGTAAATAATAGTTGGGCGCTTATGCAGCCATGTGAGGTCTTTTCAGTGGTCTTCTCAGATATTCTGTTTAGATGTCTTTTAAGATATTTTCTCCCCCTTCCCAGATTTATAGGTGGGTAGACGGCAAAGAGAAAGCGGTAAGAGGCTTAGTTTGTGAAAGAGACTTTTCTATATATAACCTAGGATGTACAGTCAACAATGTTATGTCTGGTATTCGGGTATCATTTACGAAAAGTCCACAGGCGGAAGCTCTCTCATTTCCAGAGCCACCTGGACACTGTACTGCATGATCTCTATAGCCTCTTCCCAACTCATAGTCCCCTCGGGTCGGGACTCTGGTGGCTCTTTAGACCCCTGCTGCTGGGAGTGATCACCAACCAACCACATCAACCAGCGTACCACTGAAACAGCTTTGTCCACATCCTTCTCTTGCAATGTCACACTAGACAGATATTTACATAACGAAGTAACGTCTTCGCCATATGGGCCGCCAGCCGCAAAGACATTATGCCATGAGCCAACAGCATCTCGCAGATCTGGTAATTGGGACAGGCGCTGTGATGTAAAGACGGGACGCTCGGGAAGAGGCGGCAGAGGTAGGACCTTCTTCTCTACAGCAATTGATTCGGAAGTAGGATCCTCCTGTGCCCGAGATGGAGGTCTTTGTGCGGGTTCAGTAGCTCGTGAGCGCTGTTGCATGCGGGAACGTTTTTGTTCATCGAGGAGCTCTTGTCTGATATCTTCAGGTAGAGCAGCTAGAAATTCGGCTGAGGGTTCGGCTGAAGCTTCGGCTGGCTCTTCTACGTTTGGTGACGCTTGTCTAGACAAGGCCTCTTCATCAAGACTAGTAGATACGGCTGCTAGGCGTGGAAGAGTGAGCCCAAAGCTTGACTGATTCAAAGGTTTGGGCTTAGGCTTGTTCGCAATCGTTGCCGACTTGGGTGGGCGGCCACGCCTCTTTTTGGGTGGCGAGACCGGTCTTCTCAGCTTGAGAAAGCTAGAGGTTGATAGGCGCGGCTCTAGTGCTGCCGGCCCGGGCGCCGGCGCAGCGATAGTGGCTGGGTGGTTATAATATCCCAAGACTTCTTTGCGGACATCTTCAGGCAATGCGGCCAATGCATCTGGGTCCAGCTGGGACTGTGGGGGAAGGTCTGCTTGGGCAGGCTGTCGTGCTTCACGCGGGGGAGGACATGGAGACCCAGAGCGAGAACCCTGGCGCGGCTTTGCTTGTGCAACAAGCCTTGATCTGATATCCGTGGGCAACTCAGCAAGGACTTTGGGATCAGCTTGAGTGGGCATAATAAATTGGGACCCCGAGATGTTGAGTGGCTTATGCGCACTATCGCTGAGTACTGGATCTGCTTGGATACGAACAGAGTCATCCTTTTGCGGACTCTCCAGCTCGTCTGGGTCTGCATCTGGAATGACCTTCTTGCGAGGTGGAGACTTGTGGAAGTTGAGTTGTTGCTGGCTGCTCTCATGGCCTGAAGAGCCTAAAGGGCCAGGCTTGATTGGTTCAAGTTTAGTCATTTGCACACCCAAACCTCTCAAGTCTCCAGGTGAAAAGTTGAAACTTCTCAACATCGATATTGCTTCTTTCCCAATGACCTCTGGCACGTTGGTCGCAACGCCAAGAGCGATGCTCTTGTTGAATGTATCACACTTTCCATGGCCGAGATGCTTGACCGGTTCCAGTGGAGCGTCCATCGATCGGCGCATGACCTTTAGTGTGAGCTGTTTCCCCTTCACTAGATTTTCCATCAATCTTCGATTCAGCTCCTCGCACAGAGACCGCACAAAGTCATCTGCTTGGTCCTGGTTGACAAATCTAATGCCCCAGTTGACCTCGGCCGAAACAGATTTCCTCATGGCTTGATCGCCGACTTCTGTTCGGTCGATGCCGCGAGCGTATTCCCACAATTTAATTCCAGTTTTGGGTCCCAGGCCAGATATCAGTCTCTCTTTCGGGAGATCTCTGATGTCTTTGACAAACTTGACACCCAGCTCCTCGAGTTTGATTGCCATACTATTCCCCACTCCAGGAAGATCACGGACAGTGAGATCTCCGATGAAGTCCAGAACAGCATCTGGCTTTAATTGAAACTGCCCAGCAGGTTTGGCTTTCCTGAGAGACACTTTCGCGAGTAGAATATTGTTGCCAATTCCGACAGAGACTGCGCATCCGGTCTTCTCTTTAATCGAATCGCGTAAAAATTGGGCAATTTCGTCCGCTTTGGCTTGCTCGCGATAAATTGATCCTTCCGATATAGCCTTTCCATCTGAGCCGCCAGCTTCCACACATAACCTTGTCACATCAATCAAAGCCTCGTCGATACTGACGCTCTGCACGGTACCATCAATGGCAAGTATCGACGTATAGAAATTGCGACTTGCATCTTCATACGCAGGGAAATCATATGGTAGGACTTTGAGATCGGAGCATAATCGCAAAGCGCCTTTCATCCACATCCCATTCTTAACGCCTCGGGCACGTGCAGGATAATTACAACTAGCGATCTCGGAGCCTGATCCAGAACCATGGGCGATAGCAACCGGCTTGTCTTGGAGCTCTGGATGATTTAGAAGTGAGACAGCTGCAAAGAATGAGTCGAAATCCACATGTAGAATGTACCGCCTCGATCCAGGCACGGGTTTCTTTTTCGATGTCTGGGACTGTGCATTCTCCTTCGTTGCGGCCTGCAGTTGGGCTTTCAAATCAGCCTTCCAGGTTGACAGATGGTGGAGGCGAGACTCCCTATAATACTGCTGCAGAAATTCTGGATTGACAACAGAGGACTTCTGCATCCTGGGGTCAGAAAGGAGCTGAGCGTTGTACTCTTCGGATGTCAAAGCGGGTTGTGTTGGGTTTGTTTTGTTGAGAAGCGAGGTTGATTCGAGATCAACGAGTGAATCTGGTGAAGTAGGCACTTGGTTGGGATTGGGAATTTGATGTGGCATTATAGCTTGTGTTACATCACTGGCTGATGCCTCTTGTTGATGCTGAGGGTCATGAGTTTCCTCCTCTTCCTCCATAGTGAAACTAGGGAAATCGCCATAGTCTGACTGGGATGGCTGGCTTGGCGTAGTTGGCGCGACCATCTGTGAGGTTTTGGACCGCACAGACGGGACCACAGGCTTTGATGAAGAGCCGAAACCCTCTTCGGCAGTACTCATATCTCGGAACTGAGAGTTATACCAGCTGGTTCTTGATTGGTCTTTGTAACCTGGTCGAGGGCTATTCGTCTGGCTGGTAAACCGGCCATCATCGAACTTGAGCACCCTCTGTGCCTGACCTTCATCTACAATTCTAAATTCATCCCATGGCAGCAGACGTCCTGCTTTGATACTGTCTGTCACCCACGCCGGTTTCACTATGCGGTAGCGGCGGAACTCTTCACGCTTCTTGGGCGTCAGAGCGCTGGCGATGATATGAGTGGCTGCAGTCTTGCCATCGAGATATTGAAGAAAGCCACCCCCATGGCTGACAATCAGATGGTGCAGGTCTTGCAGGGAAGGTTGAGTGTACCCATTGACATGAGCAACTACACCACGGAATATTGGCGGGCAATCGCCAGCTGAAGCTCGAATTTCCGCGTCAAGATTCTGCAACTTCATTTTTTTCCGGCGCATGTAGTCCCCAAACCCGCCGAAGCTGGAAGCCTCATACTCCTCTCCTCCTTCATCGTTGAAGTCATCTAAACACGGTCAGATAAGAGCTGAGACTCATATTCGGACTAAACATACGATTTTCAATGCGTTTGCGCACTGCACTAGAATTTATCTCATGACGGGAGCCCATTTTGGGCTATGACGACCATCATGACCAACAAGAGAGTATAGAGAGACAAAAGAGACAAGGTTGTTGCCTTTCGCGCGAAGCTCGGTAATCATCACGTGGATCCAAGCTTATAGGAAGCGGTCACCCATAGCAATATATTAGCGGTGAACGATTCGTTGATATCATTGAATGATTTTTTTTCTCCCAATTTTTTGCCGCATCTGTTGCTTGGTAGCATCTTTTCTTTTCTTCTCTTTTCTTTCCTTCATCCACATCTTTTTCCACGTGGTTCATTCTCTCTTTGAACTTGATCTTTTTTCATCTCCCTCAATTTACTCTAATAATTCACAATGTCTGCTGTTCAGCCTGTCGCAGTCTATGCGCTCCGGGTTCCTCCCGGTGCCATGGTCCAAGCAGTCCCCAACGCTGCTGCTTCGGTAAGTCTTACTGTGATCAATTAGCTGGTAACTTGTGCTGACATTAAATCTAGTTCCGCATCAGCATGGCTGCTATCGATCCCGATGAGGCCCCAGAGTTCGAGGATGACCAGGACTCGAGCAAACCTTCCCGCTCCACCCTGAAGATTGTTCGCGCTCCTCCCGGCCTTGACCTCGATGAGGATGATGAGGATGATGAGGACTACAGTGATGAGGATGATGAAGAGTCCGATGAGGAGGAGTCCAATGGTGGCCCCAGCGACAAGGAGAAGGCCCGCAAGCTTAAGGCCGCCGCTGCCCTCAAGGACCTCGAGGACGCTATGGATGAAGATGATGATGAGGAGGATGATGATGAGGATTTCGATCTGAAGGCTGCTATCTCTAAGCTCATCAAGGGTAAGGGCCCTGCCCTTGACGATGAGGACTCCGAGTCCGAGGAGGGCCTCGAGCTCGATGAGAACGTTATCTGCACCCTCAGCCCCAGCCAGGTAAGACCAATGCCCTCTCAAGTTTCACACCCTGTTGAATATTAACGTCTTATACCCTATAGAACTACCAACAGCCTCTGGATATCACTGTCTGCGAGGGTGAGCCCGTGTTCTTCAAGGTCACCGGTAACCACACTGTCTTCCTCACTGGTAACTACGTCATTGGTCTCGATGAGGGTCACGACCACGACCACGACCACGACCACGATGATGAGGACGAGGATGACTACGACCTGTCTCCCGATGAGGATGAGCTCGACATGGAAGACCTCATCGCCATGCAGGATGATGATGAGAGTGATGACCTTGATGACATGGAGGACCCCAGAGTCACCGAGGTCGAGAGCGAGGAGGAGGCTCCTAAGCTTGTTGAGTCCAAGAAGGGCAAGAACAAGCGCGCCGCTGAGGACGAGGTCACCCTCGATGATCTGATGGCCAAGGCCAGCAAGGCCAAGTCTACCAAGGCTGAGGAACCCGCCTTGACCAAGGCCCAGCAGAAGAAGCTCAAGAAGAACAACGGCGATGCTGCCGCTGTTGAGCCTAAGGAGACCAAGAAGGATACTAAGGAGGACAAGAAGGAGGCCAAGACCGACAAGAAGGTTCAGTTCGCCAAGAACCTCGAGCAGGGCCCCACTCCCTCCGGCGACAAGCCCACTGGCACTCTCGGCGTTAAGGAGATCCGTGGAGTTAAGATTGACGACAAGAAGCTTGGAAAGGGCGTTGCTGCCAAGAGCGGTAACACTGTCGCTATGCGCTACATCGGCAAGCTCGAGGACGGCAAGGTTTTCGACTCCAACAAGAAGGGCAAGCCTTTCACCTTCAAGCTCGGAAAGGGTGAGGTCATCAAGGGTTGGGACATCGGTGTCGCCGGCATGGCTGTCGGTGGTGAGCGTCGCATCTCCATCCCTCCTGCTCTCGCATACGGCAAGAAGGCCCTCCCCGGCATCCCCGGCAACTCCAAGCTTGTCTTCGACGTCAAGCTCCTCGAGATTAAGTAAACTGCTCGAGATTGTCATCCGTCTTTTCATCGGGGTGTTTGAGGGTACCGGTTCAATTGCATCATTCCTGTGATATCCATTGCTGTCTCTTTTTTCAGTTCATTCCCCCACTGCATATGGCAGGGATGAGATGATCGCGAGGAATTTGTATCCCTGCATGGAAAAAGTGACCATTTATTGCTGTTTATTATATACTTTGTACTAGTTTCTTTATGAATTGATCATATGATTGAGTCTTAAATTTTTTTTCCAGTGTAAAAAGAGAGGTTTCTTAAAAATTTTGGTTTAAAACAACAAATAATAGCATAGGGCTATATAACTCTCCTCCTTGCCCTTGCGTCGCGACAAATTCCCCGATATGAACACCCGTTAAATAAGAGAAAATAAGGCTGCCTGGTGCATGATCATCTATATTTGTCTACATGAAATGTGTGTGTTCTTTGTTTCATCCATGTAATCTTAGGTATAAGTCAACGGGTCTCCTTTGCCTTATGGAGGCGATTGCTGATCAACGTCATTGCCTCCAACCCACCCTCCAGTACTCTCCTAAATCGATTAATCACACTCCAATATCATCATTTTCTCTAACACGTTGGCTTGCCACCTTTGTGATACATTACCTTCTCGCTCTCTCCTGTTCTCCTTTGTCCAATGAAATTATGTTCATCTAACCTACTGTGACCTCCCCGCAGATAAGGCCATGACTCGTGACTGTTCTGGCGCTTATTGATTCTATCAGCTTCAATCCTAACGTCTGCTTTGTACAACATTTCATAACTCTCTAGGTGATTATCAGTCTGTATCGCGACATGGACAGCGGCGATCGCATGTTCTGCCATGCCTGTGGCGGGGTTTGGCTTAAGGATGGGGGTTTGACGTGCCCGCATTGTGAATCTGAGTTCACAGAAATAGTACAGTGAATGCCTTCTTTCTTATTTTATCTCATCCTAACACTCTCTTTACTCTAGATTGAAATTCCCCCAGAAGAGCCTTCGGAAGGTTCCCCTTCACATCGTGCCGATTCCTCGTCGCCTCCACGCGTCAACCCGTGGATAGACCACAACCCATGGGAACGAGACACACAAGAAGGGCAAGGCCCTGGACTTCTTGGAGGGGACATTCCCCCATACTCCTCCTTGCGCACATATAGATCGCCCGACGGACGTTTCTCATTCAGCAGCGCGACGCTTGATACCGGAATGCCTTCCGGTCAGCGCAACAACGGCCCGAACCCTGTGGTTCCAATGATGATGCAGAGCTTTGACACAATATTACAAAGCTTAATGGAGCCCAATCCTCGTGGATACAGGGGATTTGGAGAGGATCCCTTCCACGCTCAATCCTCTACCTCTCCCGACTGGCTCGAGGACGACCACCTCACGGGCCACCACCCAGGCCTATCTCCCCGCAATGCAGATGCGCCACAACCTAACAACCGCAATCCGACAGATCTAGCTGAGTATGTAAGAACTCTATCTGTTTTGATTGTTGGTAGACTAATCAGAACCTAGAATCATGGACGCCATTCGCGCCGACATTGGGTTACAAACTACCCGACGCGCACGTGGAGCTCGTGGCCCAGCAAGCCCACATGCTCTTTCGATATTGTCAGCCATTCTCAACATGAGTCGAAGTGAGGATGCGGTATATTCGCAGGAGGAGCTCGACCGGGTCATCACACAACTGATTGAGAATACTGGAGGGACCGGCACTGCGGCACCGCCAGCATCTGATGCTGCTGTCCAAGCTTTGCCGAGGAAAAAGGTCAATGAAGAGATGATGGGATCTGAAGGGAAAGCAGTGTGTTCGATTTGCATGGATAACGTCGAACTCGGCTTGGAAGTCACTGTGTTACCATGCACGCACTGGTTTCATTTCAACTGCATCCATGCATGGCTGACCCAACACGACACTTGTCCGCATTGCCGGCGCAGCATCAATTCAAACATAGCGTAAGTTTATGTGAGTTGTGTGCACAGACCGAGAACTTTCAGCTGATCCTATATTCCACAGGGGCGGAGAAGGCACCTGTGAGAATCCGGTAGTGATTCAGGATAGTCCCGAGCAGCCTAGATCCCACCGGCGTCACAGCTCTGCTCGCACTGTGCGCAGCGGTCGATCCTCATTATCTTCGTTGCCGAGTCGAATTTCCCCACGAATTTCACCCCGTCGGTCCCCTACTCCAGATGGGGGGCAATCCAGCAACCGACGGTCTAGCCGGGGTGAGGGTAGCAGTGGAGGGGGATTTACCAGTTGGTTTACGAACCGATTTGGAAGCAGTACATGAGAAGAAACGATATATCAATTATGATTTCCACGCAGCGGGCCTTTTTCCCCCTTGGGTTTCGGGGTATTTTCCACACCATGCTTCATCTGTCAGTTTTAGCGATTCGGCATGTTCGATACCTTTTTTCTTTCCTCATGCGATTCTTCTATTCCTCCATACCCACTTTCCTGGGTGATTTTCACACCATGCGACAGGGAATTGAAACATGTCTGGGTCTTCACGAGAGCTCGTTTTGTAAAGTTGTTTCTTCCTCTGCGCCATGTACATACTTAGCTCCTGCATCGTTCTACTTTTGGATCGACCAGTACACATCCCATAGGGATATTCTCTTGGACAAATTGGGAATATTTGTTTCATCTCAAGGCTGCAACATTGGGATCGGCCTCTCCTTGCATCACACCTGAGATATCATTACTGTTCCACTCTATTTATGATTCATGAATGCCATTTGTATGTGGGGAAAGTTGTCACTTGATCCTCATGATTATGATTTTAATCTACTGGACACACCTCATATAACATTGATAACCAGAGAGTAAAGAACATCGTAGCCTTTTCATAGTAAGTGTCATGGATGTGCTTTTCTTTATAAAGCAAAAAATGGATGCCCCTTCCATCAAATTGGGCTTGTGGTTTAGTGGTATAATACTCCCTTAGCATGGGAGTGGTCCAGGGTTCGATTCCCTGCAAGTCCATTTTTTTTTCGTTCTTTGCTTGTTGTGTGGAATCGAATCTTTTCTAGAGAGGGTGATCAATTTCCTTTTTTTTTGTCAAATTAAGCGTAAATTTTTCTTTCGGTTTCTTTCAAATACAACATAACATATATAGTATTTCTTTCGCCAAGGTCGGGTGTCTTTTGTGGATGACCTCGGCTCTTTTTGGTATTTACTAGCCTACATGTACTCAATAGCTCCGTCTACTCCATGCTTTCAGTGTCGTTTATTAATTCTACATACTGTTGATAGGTTTCTTTCTGATCGCGTGCACCTTTTTGCAAAGTGTCATGTTTTGATCATTTTGTTTCCTATTCGGTGTTTTGGCTGATTATATATCTTGAACCCTTGTTGGTTTGTGCAGATAACTTCTACACCTTACCAAAGAATTTCAATTAATTTATTTGAATATTTCTAGAATTTAAAACTACAGTACTATAGAATCCTGTTCTCTCCCATAGAGTTTACCCCAGCCACATTCACTCACTGTCTAGCGTGTATTGTCACAGTTCATCTAAAAAGGACCAAGTTAGGTGAGATCTCCACCATGGAGATCTAGAGGGTCCCTTGCAAAAACCTAAAGCCTTAGTCCAAAGAAAGTAAGCAAGCCTATCATACTAAATCCCCATATGAGTTACACCATTGCATATACCCTCGAATGCCTAAAAAAGGCATGGTTTCTCAAAGAAAGCGGACTGTTTAGCCAGCCTTGACATTAGGTAGGTATTCCCATTGACTTGTTCGATTTCAACGATGACCTAAGAAAAGCTCGTACCTACTTGCTTGTCAGAATGTAAAATAGATGGAATCCTATCCTCCAAACTTACACACTGATACCGAAGATACCATCGTATCCACCCCCGTCAGCTCAGGCAATACGTGCTGTTTCCGCACTTGGGGTAAAAGCCATGGGGCTATGGGTTCGAAATGGTACTTCTTTTCGAACGACTGGAGTAGAGCTTAATGAAGACACCCAATGAAAGCGGGAACTATGTTTCACACTTTGACAACCTCATCGGTATGGCAGGTCTGACTGGCCCTTGGCACGTAGACTAGGGGATAGCCGTTGATATTACATATCGAGGATGCGTACAAGAGTGTTTTACCACAGACAGAGATTCTTTGCCGTTTTTTTGCCTTTTTTGCCTTTTTTGCCTTTTTTATCATTATCTGTGTTTCCAGATGGAACGGTACCCAATATAGTTGCATAATTTGACGGGTTACCTTTTTATAGGTGATAAGACCTGCATCATGAAACTGACTGTCTGCAGCGGCCAGCGGCAACTGCCGTCGTATGATCTCGGACTGGCTGTAGAGTCCGACATTCCGGGGTGAATGGTGAGCCGTCTCAAATCCTTTGAAGGTGACTTAGATGGTGGCGTACAAGGGTCAGATTTCCCGAGCAGAGTACTTACGACTGCCTTACTAGTAGTATCTTATAGTGGCGTATGTCAGCTCCTCTGATGAACTGCACCAACGATATTTCTTTTATTTGCTTGAGACACTTGCTTTGGTAAAAATCACGTTGAATGGCCCAAGAAACGTATGATTAGATACCTAAGTAGTCCGTCTGTTTTGGTCTTTGAAAGTTTGTGGCTTCTGCAGACTCGTATTCAGTAGATGTCTCCATCATATCTTATACGATACGATGATAAGCCTCGCGGGGTCCAATTACACACACAGAGAGACCCCCAAATCCCACCATTTTCAAGATTGGCGCATATGGTGTTGAAACCTAGGTGCTTGGAAGGTGAGATGAGACCCATGCGGGATCCAGCCATGTGACATTGACATATTTCAAAACAAAAAGCAACTATGGATCGTGTGATTAAGATAGAATTCCATTTAAAATACAACCAGCGAATTTGAAAGCCATCCAATATTACAAACTTGCTTTGTTTTGTTTGCCAGCAGAACCCGTTAACAGGAGAGCCCGTTATTCAACGACTTCATACCTCCGCCCCCAAGAGGGCTGGCTTGTCATAAACCACGACCGAAACGGATTTAGGAGTCTCTGCCGTCGAGATGCTTTGCGTTCTCGCTCGTCGCGCTGCATGTCCATCCAGACAGTTGGGGTGATGATATGAGGGGGTGGTTGGAGGTAATCGGAGTCGGGGGTTATTTTGATGGCTTTCTCGACCTTTGATGTTTCTGTGACTGGAAATTCTGAAGAGAATTTCTCGACAGTTGTTGAGTGTAATATTGATGTATTGTCAAGATCTGTAGGTGGGCATGATATTGGAAATGCGACGGTGCCTGGCCTGGGCCTTTGGACCGCTATGTGCTCGGGATTGGCATGAAAACCCAACAGTTCGGATGTGTCGTTGTCCTTGAGAGTCTGGTCCGTGTGAGAGGACTGTGTATGTTTGTCTGCACACTCCACTCCCATTGACAAGTCGAACTTCGTACTCGTCGTTGTGGTCCCCGAGAGCGTAAAGTTTTGACAGAAGGCAGCGTATGACTGTTGAAGACGCATCTCTCTCGCTGCTTTCACATCAAAAGCTGGGCATTCCTCCTCAATTTCTTCGTGAATAGGGTCGTGTATTTTAACCTCATGAACCGGATGAGCTGGCGAGCGTAGATTATGTGAGTCAATATTTGTTGTGTCGTTGAGGCTTTTGAGATTCTTTTCGCTCAGCTGATGCTCTTGAACTCCGGCCCTGAGGATTGTGTGAGATATCCTCTTCGACACCCTTCTTGTGAGCTGGGAAACCGTGTTTCTTCGACGGAGGGCATGTCGTGGTTGCTCTATCGAATCTTGAGTAGAGAAGGTATCACTTGAAGCGAAGGAAGCATTGTCATTGACAATGAGGACATTAGGCATTTTGATATGAGTAGACTGATTCAAATGGTGATTGAGAGAGAAGAAGATCGAATGTCAGGCTGGGAATAAATAATTTCCCCAAACGTAGCAAACGGCATTTAATTTCATTGAGCAGGGGTCGAATGAAAGGAAGTTGAAATTGCAATATCCCATATAACGAGCAAGATATAGCGGTGAATCCTCATGAAGTATAGGGTAATCTGTACTTTGCAGATTGATTGCAGGAGAAGATAAGAAGGCCTAGATGCCCACGTAGGTACGTTTAATACAATTATGGTGGGACAGACCTTCTAAAGTAGGGGAATTTGGGATGAAATACTACCCTGTAAATCTAGATAAAGAGGTGCCTAGGCAAATATACACCCGCCTGTTAGGGTATCCCGCTACAGCAAGCCACCATGCAGACCGAATGCGGAAAGACGTCAGGGAGTAAAACTAGAGGTTGTAAACGTGCGATAAGGTCCTTAGGTTTGGGGAAATACTTTATCTCCAGATGTCCAAGAAATCCTCTCTATCCTGTAGGCTTTTCAAGCATACATAATACCTACATGTGTCGATAGTAAGGGTTCCAATCCACAGGACAAAGGGGCAATGAGACATTTCAAACCCCTCCATCCTGCAACGGCGCTACTCAGCCTAGTCTCGGATGTTGCGTCCAATGCACACCGGTGATCACTGGATTGCCTAACAAGGCTCCTATTGGTTATGGTTCAGATGGCTAGCATGTGGTCATGTCCGTGCGGCCGTATTCGATCCCGATACTCATTTGTCCACCTTTGTCCACAGTGAGACTGGTTCAAGCCCCAAGAGTTTAATTTAAAAGGTCAGACCAAATCACATGAATCTATATTTTGAAATATTTACAAAGCCCTTTTAAGGCAGGTATACATGTACCGGAAAGCAATGAAAGTACAGTCAGATTATCCAGACACGCCTTCACGCCCGAGGCCCCAGCGACCAACCTCACGCATAGCCTCATCACCACCTTCAGCCAGCCGTCCGTTGGTATTGGAGGGGTTGCTACTCCCCAGGACGCCAGCCACACATTGCCAGCCATTGCGGCCACCACCCCAGCGAAGGACTTCATTCTTGTATCGCTCGCCGGCGGCACGATCAGTTGCTGCCTGACCAGACAGGAAGACGTCCTGCCAGAGTTTGTTCGCGATCGCGCGGTCAAAGATATAGCTGTAGTACGTGGCACCGTAGCCATACAAGTGGCCGAAGAAGCCCTGCCAAGAGGTACGTGGCTGGACATTATTTGGGTCGGGCAGACTGGAATACTCAGAAAAGACTCGATGATAAATATCGGTGGAGTCAATGCCAGCTGAGCTGACTTCAGCTGGGATCGAGTGATATGCCTGGTCAACGAGCGCCATGAGGATCTGTGCTTCATTCTCAACGGCACCATAGATGGAACCATGCGCAGTGCGGTCTAGCTCCATACTCTGCATCATGCTCTCAGATAGAGGCTCGTCGGTCTTCCAGTGTCGCGCGTAGAGTCTCAGCACCTCGGGCGCAGTCGCAAAGCTCTCCATCAATACGGAGGGAAGTTCGGCGAAGTCCGTGGCGCATCGCGTACCGGAGATGGACTGCAGAGGCGTCTGGCCCAAGATGGAGTGGACAGCGTGGCCCATCTCGTGGAACAAGGTGCGAACACTCTGCTCACTCAAGAGAGTTGGCTGGCCGCTGCCATTGGCCTGAGGTTCCTGGAAATCACAAACGAGGGCAATGGTTGGGAGTTGGCGTAAAGTTTTAGTTTGCGGATCTACACCAGTGGCCATGCCGTCATTCGGGTGCGCAGACTCGTTCATAGAGGCGCACTCGGCGACCTCCTCTGCAGATATTTCGCGCGAGCAGCGCAGAGTAAAGTGAGCCGGATTAGGGTGTTTGCTCGGCCGTGTAAACAAGTCACAGTAGACCACTGCAATATGATTCTCCGATTCATCCACTACATCCAATCGACGAACGTCGGGATGCCAAGTCTCGCCAGGAGCTGCTTCATGCGGGACTAGACGCACACCATACAACCGGTCAAAGAGTCGAGACAGACCTTGCATCACCGTCCCCAAAGAAAAGAACTCATTGATCACACCCATATGACGAGAGCGACGAGCTTGGGAATACGCTAAAACGCGCTTGTGAACGTAGTACGCGTGGTCCCAGGGCCGCAGGGAGGAGCCTCCCTTCAAGTCCTGCAGCTTAGATAGCTCTTCCCGGACTGGACCCTGGTTGCTCGATACAAGCGAAGTCAAGAAGTTCGACACTGCTTCAGGCGTCTTGGCCATTTTGTCGCCGAGAGTCATGTGCGCAAAGCTATTATAGCCTGTAAGTTGTGCCAACTCTGCCCTTTTCACTAGAAGTTCCTCCAATCTTTGAATTTGGCGCTTGCTGGATGTTCGAGTGGCGAGATAGATGTCTTTGCGAACTTCTTCATCATGCACCGAGCGCAGAGCAAGTCGAGGGACAATTCCCATCGTCGGAACTGGCGCTTTTTTATTCCACCGCTTAATTTTGGAGATAACCATAGGATCCAATCCTTGGAGGCTGTTGGCGCCAAAGACCACCTGGGACCTTGCAGGCTCCGCGCCATTCATGAAATCGGAACCTAACTGGCTCACATCATTCGAGAGATTCACAAACCGCTGCCTAACATTGGGCGGCATATGAATTGCGGAGTTCGAGAAATCCTTGTTGAGGATCTGTGCCACGATCCGTTCTGCCTCGGTCCAGTATGATGTCACGTCGGGGTTGTTCAAGGCCTTATTGAGCTGTTCATGAAGCCCTGTGGTCGTGTTCAAAACATTCATATATTCAAACATAAGAGCCCACGCCTGCGTGGCTGCTTCTTGTATCCGCGGATCGGGGTGAATGGTTCGAATGAAATCGGACAGATCGATGACACGACACAGGAGATCGCTCAGCTGGTCAAGGTCTCGTGCTAGGGCCCTGTATTCTTCAACCGTCGAGGCGGCAAGCACCTTGGATACGATAGCCTGGCATCTCTGCAGCGAGACATTTGCGAATGTCCTAAAGCCCTCGGGGCTTGTGAGGTATTGGTTTTGGACCAATCCGGCTCGCTTTGAGATTGTGGTCGTGCGCTGCTGGGAGAACTCCTTCCAGAAGGGTTGGGAGTCAAAAACACGGCGTAGGGTATGGTCATCGGTCTTTTTTCTTGGTGCACTGTTATCAGCCGGTATGTACTCAAGCGATGTTGACGGAGAGGATGCGGCGCTCTCGAAGGCTCGATATTGAGGCCGCAGATGTAGGCATTTGCGACATGTCCATGTTCGTCGCAAAGGGCGAAGCATTGTAGATACTGTATCAAAAGCAGATTAAAACCATCGGAAATTGTGAATTCAAATCTCCTATTCAAAGAAACATAGAGTCAAGGAGAACGGGCAATGACGGAGTTTTCTGGAGGTTCCGCCGAGCCGAAGAATTCCCGTCTTGCTCCAACACGACTTTGCTTCATCCTCACTACCAGCTCCCCCCATTCTCTTCCCCCCCCCCCCCCCCCCCCACACCCTCAGGATGTCATTCCGGCCGATGTTGCAACAGGTATGCCTTTGTATAATTGCTTCCTTCCAAGTTGGATGCAATTGATTCCCCAATGTCCCGTTCCCATGCTGATTTGTGCCCAGCGGGCTGTGGCTCCGATCGCAGCCACTCTCCTTGCGGGAGGTATTGCTCTGTACCCCAAGAAGACAGCATTTGCAGAAGAGCCCCGAGATAATGTATGACCAGATCTGTTTCTAGCTCTATTGAATGTCTGAAAGGCTTGGTCTGACACACGACTGCTTCCCTAATATAGCGGAAACCTATCTACGATGACTTCCCAGCCGACATCCCTGAACACTCCAAGCCCTCCCAGGTTGCTGCACCTGCCACCCCCAAGCTGATCTCTGCGCCGGCTGCGCAACCAGCTCCCTCTTCACCCACCCCGACAGACATCCTGACCGCTCAGGTCCGACAAGCTCGCCTCTTCCTCTACTCACACTCCCTTGCCGCAGAGCAGGGCTTCAACAACTTCCTGTCTCGGGCCCTCAACATCGAAAACTGCTTTACCAACACCGTTGCTTCGCTCGCACCTTCTGCCGAGTCCGGCGAGCGTCTCCTGCCCGGCGGTGTCTACGTCGTCGTGGCCGCCATGGCCGGCTCGATTGTCTCGCGTAACCGTGGCATTCTCCTCCGCACTGCGTCGCCGCTTGCTTTCGGTACTGCTGCGGCCTACACTCTCCTGCCCGTGACAATGCGGAATGTTGGAGACTTGGTTTGGGAGTATGAGAAGAAGGTCCCCGCCCTTGCGGAGAAGCACTCGGCTGCCCGTGAGCGTGCGGAGCACATCTGGTACACCGGCGTTGCGCACAGCGGAATGGCGCGCCAGATGATGGAGGAGAAGATTGGTGACACCCGGAAGAAGTTGGAAGAGCTGGTGAGCAAGGGCCACTAAATATAGCCTGGCTGTTTGGGGGCTATTGCGCAGATTCATTTGTTGCATATGTACGCTTAGAACTCGTAGATCCGAAGACATACCCGGATTGATTCCTTTTGTTTGAATCGTTCAGTGATAAAGTAGGTGGCCTGACAAGAGCACCTATGAGCGTACGCTTGCACATGGGAATAGGTAGCTTGCGATCGACATAATTTGATTTCGTCATACTCTACATTAAATTGATTTCTGATTTCTCTAAACTATTCATTCTTCCTGAGCAGGCCCTGGTGATCCTTCCGGTGCGGGGCTCCCCGAGTGAGGGGACGAGACTCCTGCCTTTGGCGGCGGAGGTAGTGGAGTTCCATGTCGTGACGGCGCATAGTCTTGTGCCCGACTTTTCTCTTCACCCTCGGCAAAGTAATCATCAAAGGCTCTGTTGGGTGATGCCGCTGGCCGTGATTTCCCTGCACGACGGCTGGCGGGCGATCTGCCCTCTAACGGCGAAGCAACTCTTGCTTGAGCGGAGGCCAGGGGCGGCGGCGCCGCGATGTTTGCTGGGACCAGGAAG